TCCGGCCCGCGATGGGTCGGCCACGCGCCAAGGGGAGGCAGGGGGAGGGGGGAAGGCTTCTTCGCCCCCCCCCCCGCCCCCGGCCCCCACTAAAACGGCCCCCCCCCACCCCGGCTCCTCTCTGCCTCCTCCCTCCTCCTCCTCCTTCCTCCTCCTCCTCCTCCTCCTCCCCTCCTGCCTCCTCCCCTCCTCCTCCCTCCTCCCCCGTCCACCCTCCCTTCTTCACCCTCCGACCCCTCCTTTCGCAACCTCCTCCTCCTCCTCCTCCTCCTCCTCCTCCTCCTCCTCCTCCTTAGAAGGCCGCGGGCCTTACCGGGGGGAGGGGCCTTACATCTATAGCCGCGCCTTCTAAGGAGAGCCTTCTTCCAAAAGTCTTCCCCCTCCTCCCCCTGCCCTCCGTGTGCGCGCCGCCAACATGTATGGGTGTACCTGTGGTGGTCCAGCCTCGTCCCCACAGTTGTGCCCCATGGCCCCTCGTGGCGGGGCCCACGTCCACGGTCCCCTCCTCTCCCCCTCCTCCCCTCCTTCTTCGCTCCCCTCCTCCTCTCCTCCCTCCTCCTCCTCCTCCTCCTCCTCCTCCTCCTCCTCCTCCTCCTCCCCCTCCCTCTCCCTCCTCCTTCGCCCGCCTCCTCCTCCCCCCCCCTCATCCTCCTCCTCCTCCTCCTCCTCATCTCCTTCGACCTCCTCCTCCCCTCGGCCCTCCTCCTCCTCCTCCTCCTCCTCCTCCTCCTCCTCCTCCTCCTCCTCTTCCCCCTCCCCCTCCCCGCCCTCCTCGGCCGACTTTGCGCGGCGCGAAGCGCGAAGTTGGGTGACCCTGTGGATCGCCTTGCGCGGCATCCAGGAGGCCTCAGGAAGTCTCGGACCACCGCATGAAAGGAAGCAGCTCCGGGCAGCCTCGGAGGGCCTCGGGTGCGGCGCAGGGCAGCTCTGCTCGATGGGGGGGGCAGGGGAGGTCCCCCAGAGGTGCGGCGCAGGAGCGTCTGCACCCCGTCAGCTCCCACTGTGGTCCAAAACATCCTTCCCCACGTCCTGCCACTCCCTGTGCTTCCTTGCTCTATCCCCCTCTCCCCCTCCTGCAGCCGCCCCCCTTGCCTTTCGCTCCAAGGATGTGTGGATTGAGCCTACATGTTTCGCATTTCGCAAAGAAGTGTGCACAGTGCGAGGTTGCACATAGATTGGGATGCATCACGGGTTAGAGCGTGTATCAGATAATGCCGATTTCGAGTGTGTCGTGCCAGTTGCAAGTTCGAAGAAACATGTGTTTGGCGTTGACGTTGTGTCCGAGAAGCCTCATGGCGCCTGTTTGCTGATGGTTCTACTTAGTGCAAGTTTCAAAGCACTTGCGGTCAGGAACTTTGCCTCAGCGTGTCGCCACGCTGGTGTTAGCCCACGCTTCGGGGCGACACGCTAATCACTTCCCAGTCCCCCAGCGTCAACATCTCATCTTATTTCCAGTCTCCCATCTCGCGGAGCGGAGCGACACGGTATCCGGTCGCAGGGCATGCGAATCATGGCGTTCCGTGGCGCTTCGTGCGAAGCATTGGGAGGCGTCGCGGTATTTTGCCCAGATTGTGATGGGCCTCGACTTCATCCATCAGCGCGGGTGCGTGCACCGGGACCTGAAGCCTGACAACATATTGCTCACCCACACTGACGAGGCCCCGTCCCGCAGACCATCGTCACGATGGGATGGCCGTGCTAAGGATTAATGTGGCCAAGCGGTTCAGACATGCCGGGGGGGTCGCAGCGCGCCCAATTGGGAAGTGGTCGATTAAAAGGATATTCCCAGTTCCTCACCGTCGTCGCCGCCGTCGAGGCCGCCGCAGCCAGCGACCCAGACGAGAAATAGCTATTCGTTTAATCGCTGGTCGCATGACTTGAGGCAGTGTGGTGCAGAAGCAGTGGACGGGAGCGATGTGCAGAGCACCGAGGGCGCCCGCGCCAGCTCACCGTGAGTCTCCTTGTGCTCGGCTCTGCTGTCCCTCTGCTGCACTGCGCCGCCAGGAGCGGGCAAGAGGGGGGAGGAGGAGGAGGCGGAGGAATTGAGGAAGAGGAGGAGGAGGAGGAGGAGGAGGAGGAGGAGGAGGAGGAGGGAGGAGGAGGAGGAGGATTGAGAATGGGAGGAGGAGGAGGAGGAGGAGGAGGAGACGGAGGAGGAGGTGTGAGGAGGAGGAGGAGGAGGAGAGGAGGAGAGGAGGAAGGAGGAGGAGGAGGAGGAGGAGGGAGAGGGGAGAGGAGGAGGAGGAGGGAGGTGGGAGGGTGGAGGAGGAGGAGGGAGGAGGAGGAGGGAGGGAGGAGGAGGTCAAGGAGGATTTCCGAGGGCATCCGCCGGCGAGGCCCCCGCCGCCCCGCCGCGTGGGGCGGCGCGCCCGCCCGCGCTCCACAGGCCCGTGCCGCGCGCGTGCCGTGCCGCGCCCGCGTGCCGCGCCGTCCGCGCACGTGCTCGGAGGAGGGAGGGGCGCCCAGACCCCCCCTCCTCCTCCTCCTCCTCCTCCTCCTCCTCCTCCTCCTCCTCCTCCTTCTCCTCCTCCTCCTCCTCCTTGCCCCGAGGGCGGGGGCCTGGCACCCGTTCGCATGGTGTCAGCACCACGCACTCCTCGGGGCACACTGTCAGTGTCAATTGCATGCGGCGGCTGGGGGCAGATAAACCGGCTTTCGTCGTCTTTGCACCAGCCACGTGGCACTTTGCCCGTGGCAGCGGCGCGTTAGCTGCGCCCGTGACCTGGAGATGGGTATCAGGCACGGGGAGTGTGCATTTGGTTGAGAGGCGGGGCCATGTGGTCCGTAAGTCCCTTGGGACCTTATGTCCGCTCACCCTGGGGTACAAACCCAGTTGCACATGCCATCCGATTCGGCAGGGGTGACGGTCAGGAAGTACTGCGCGGTGACGCGGTGAACCGGCTGTCCCCCTACGCACCACGCCGTCTCGGTTGGGCAGCGAGTCGTTGAGCGACGAGGTACCTTCGTTTCCCCTGACCGTCGGTGCTGGCGCCTGCGGGCCCCTTCCTCCTGTCTGGGAGGCCGAGGGTGACGGTTGAGCCTCGCTCGCCGTTCACTTCTTGGATTTATGACACTCATGACAGTCTCCCTTCTCCTCCTCCTGCTCCTCCTCCCTCCTCCTCCTCTTCCTCCTCCTCCTCCTCCTCCTCCTCCTCCTCCTCCTTCCCCTCCTCCTTCTCCTCCTCCTCCTCCTCCCTCCTCCCCCTCCTCCCCCTCCTCCCTCCTCCTCCTCCTCTTCCTCCTCCTCCTCCTCCTCCTCCTCCTCCTCCTCCTCCTCCTCCTCTTTCTCCTCCTACTCCTCTCCTTCCTTCTCCTCCTCTCTGCTCCTGCTCCTCTCCTCCTCCTCCGCCTCCTCCTCCTCCTCCCTCCTCCTCCTCCTCCCTCTCCTCCTCCTCCTCCTCCTCCTCCTCCTCCTCCTCCTCTGCGCAGGGCCACTCGTGCGTGCAGCCCGTCACCCACCCAGGGGGCCCATCGGCTTCGGCGCCCATCTCGAGGGATGCACATTGATCATTTCTGGCTCTTCGAAGGTTCTGTGATTTTGTGGTGGGCCAGGATCCTTTCTGATTGTGCTGTCCTGGGCCTCTTCGTGGCCACCAGGGTTCCAGGAACAATCAGAAACGAACACGATTATACATGAGCACGATTAGAAATACACGACGTGTATCCTCGCCTCGTTTTCCCCTTTTTGGGCCTCCTGGGCGGCCCTCGTCCCCAACGCTGCATTCGCCGTGAGGTCCTTGTCAGAACGCACCCCAGGAGAGGTCCGCGGAGTAGCGGTATCGGTGCCTGTTGGTGTCCCCACATTCCGATGCTGATTCGCCACCGCGTCTGTTCATCCAGCGCTCCCTTTGCTGGTGTGCTTGTGTTTTGAAAGCGGTGAGCGGCCCGTGGCAAGTGAGCAGCCTGCCGCGGCCGAGGGGCGCCAAAGGCCCTCCTCCCCCTTCGCGTTCCTCTGCCTCATCCCCTCCCTCTCCTTCCCCCCTCATTTCCTCCTCCGCGCCTTTCCCTTTCCTGTCCTGTCCTGTGCCCCCTCCTCCCTGCGCGCGGCTCGGCTCACTCCGTCTCGGCGTGGCGCCAGCATCGGCGCGGGCGTCAGCGGCTTTGGGGGAGATCCGGGGCGGGAGGGGTCGGGCTCGCTTCAGGCGGAGCGGCCTTCGTGGCACGGGGACCGGAACCCACTCCGTTGAGACTTTCTTGTCAGCGGTGGCGTTCAGCATCGTCTCACCGATCCCCATCCCCCATCCCCCAGGTGGGGCTAGGTCCTGCGAGGCCCGAAACGAGCGCCATAGGGGGGGGGGTAGACGGCCAGTGGGGCTAAGGCCATGCCAGCGGGGATGGGAAACGGTTCAGCAGTGTTCAGACGAGGAGGAGGAGGAGGAGGAGGAGGAGGAGGAGGAGGAGGAGGAGGAGGAGGAGGAGGAGGAGGAGGAGGAGGAGGAGGAGGAGGAGGAGGAGGAGGAGGAGTGAGGGAGGAGGAGGAGGAGGAGGAGGAATTGAGGAAGAGGAGGAATTGAGGAAGGAGGAGGTGGGAGGAGGAGGAGGAGGAGGAGGAGGAGGAGGAGGAGGAGGAGGAGGAGGAGGAGGAGGAGGAGGAGGAGGAGAGAGGAGGAGGAGAGAGGAGGAGGAGGAGGAGGAGGTAGGAGAGGAGGAGGAGGAGAGGAGGAGTAGGAGGAGAGGAGGAGGAGGAGGAGGAGGAGGAGGAGGAGGAGGGGAGGAGGAGGAGGAGGAGGAGGAGGAGGAGGAGGAGGAGGAGGAGGAGGAGGAGGAGGCGGAGAGAGGCGGAGGGCGGTCGGGGAGGAGGGCGCCGCGCTCCGAGCGTGTATGGGGGACTTCGCGCGCGGTGCGGCGGCCCCTCGCGGCCTGCGCCAGTGGGGCAGGCACCTGTCGTGTGGCCGGCCAGCGGGTGCCTTTGGTGTTCAGGTGGCCTCTGTTGGCATGCGTGTCGACGGGCTCTCGGGCCGTTCGTGGCGTCGAGCACTGCCGACGAGGCGCGCCCTCCGATGCCGCTCCCGCAGCCTGCGGCGCCGCCTCGGCGGTGGGAGCGCAGCCTTCGAGCCTCGCGGCCGCGACAGACAACGCTCTGGACCAGCTGGAAGCGTGGGCGCTGCTCACAGTACAGTCGGACCGAGGTATACGATCGAGGTCGGTTCGGGGAGGGTGCCCTCATGTTCTTCGTGCCTGTTAGATGTTCTTGTGCATCCTGGGGGAGGGTACGCTCGAGTGCTCTTCGTTTTGGCCAGCGGAGGGTTTCATGTTTTCGAAGGATGTGTTTCTGTCCTAGGCCCGACTGTATCATCCTCCGGTCGCAGTTCCAGCCCGACCCGTGCTTGGGCACCTCCCTGTTGGAGGTCATGTGAACTCTTCGCTGTGTCAGCCGATCTGCATGAAGAGTGTCAGGTGCTTGGCTCTCTCCCCATCGTCTCGTCATCTCCCCTCTCGACCCGAACGCTGCAAAATACCGATCCCAGCTCGTCCTTACCCTGAGGCCATGCCTCTTTTCCTCGCATTGTTTGGATATCCTCTGGGACGCGTGCTTACACTGGAGGTCCGCATCTGCGACTTCGGCTGGAGCGCAGAGGTGCGGCATGCCTTCATTCCTTTCTTGCTGCCACAAGCCAGGTCAGACCCATAGAGAGGCAAGACTGGGGCGGGGCCAATCGTTGATTTTTGCATGCCTTGGAGAGGAAGCTCGAGCTTGGGTAGACGGCGCGTATCGAAAAGCTCGTGGCAACGATGCGCGATCCTCTGCATTGCATGCCGTCGCGCGCTTATTCCCCTGATGTGTTATCCCCACTTCGCCCCGCTAATATGGTATAATGGTGGAAAGCATGCAATTCGCTTGGTTGCAGTAGCTCTGCGTGTATTCGTTCGCTTCGTTATGTAATCAACTTGGTGCCAGGTTTGGGAGCTACTGTATTTTGCATTGATGCTCTGCTTCCAGACTTGAATGGGATCTTTAGGTGCAGACGGTTCTGCTTCATCAAATCTAGTCTTGGGTATGAGCTTGTTGTGCGTAGCCATTGTTACAGCACGTCGTTTTTATTCACAAGCGTTTGCACCCAAGATCGTCTATCGTCTTTGTTCTCGAGGCTCTCGAACTACGCGTGGCTTTTGGAGCGCCGGCTTCCTATACATGTCGGTCAGGGCAAACAGTTGTCGTGCACTGGCGCATTTGGTGTTTGCGATTCTCGCGTCAGCCTGCCTCAATCTCTGACCCTTTATTCCACTCTCGGGAATCTGGCCGCGCGTTCTTCGTGCCCAGGTGCTGGTTGAGCAGGCGCTGAAGACGACCTGCGGCACGCCGAACTATTGGCCGCCGGAGATCTTCGAAGGCGCGCTTGGGGGGGATGCCGACGCGCGGCGCAAGGCCCAGGCCCCTGGCGCCTCGGGAGACTGGCTACGGGCATCCCTGGAGCTCGTCGTCGGGGCACCCACGGCAAAGCTCCAGGGCGTTGCAGCCCTGCGGGGGGATGCGCATCTGGCGGGCGCCGTGGACAGGCGATGTTGGAGTCCGGGCCTGGGGTTCGAGTAGATGGGGTCGGAGGACCGCGCCGCGTCACCAGTGCATCGGCGATGCGGCCCGCTGTGGAGCCCGATTGTCCCCACCCTGGCTTCGCCGATGCATCGCCAACGTCGCCAATGCGTCGTGAATGCATCGGCGATGCTTTGGGGGTGCGGCGCGATGCTCCGACCCCATCTCATCGGACACACCACGTCGCTTGGGCGGCCCTGGAGCCAGGGAATTCGGCGAAGGGATTCGGTGTATAGGCGCTCCAGCGTCCCACAGGCAGGGAAGCTGGGGCGTCTGTGCATCGGGCTCCTTGCCCGACCAGACGAGCCCCTCCCATGACGGCTTCGATGTACCGTCGAAGGACAACAAACGGCATACACATAATTTTTCGGATGTCCCTGCGGTTTTTTTGGAGCGGCGTTGGGCCTGGCGGCGCCTGGGGCGCCGCCCCTTGCGCAAACAGCGCCGATCCAAGTCCTCGCGGACCTCCGAAAGTGTATGTCTGTGTTGTTTTTCTCCCCCTTTCACCAGCCTGGACACACATCCCTGCCCCTAGGATTGGCATCGCTTATAATCTCGCTGCCGACCTTCTCCTGCTCCTGCAGCTTCTGATGGCGCATCCCCACGATTGCAACCACCTCGGACCTGCCAGACGTGTTGATCGGGGACAGCTCGGCGCTGGGCAAGCGGGTGAGGAGCGGGCGACGGCCAGAGAGCGGCGCGGGAACTCGGGGCCGAGAACGGGCGGGCGCGGGTCGCGGAGCAGAGCGAGGGCGGCGAGGCAGCGCCGCGGATGCTGCACGCCGGGGGTGGGCATCGACTGCGGCCGGTGGGCGACGGACGGGCGCGGGGCGGGAGGGCGCCCGCGGGGAAGGGGGCGGAGGTGCCGCCGAGGGAAGGGGGAGGAGGAGGAGGAGGAGGAGGAGGAGGAGGAGGAGGAGGAGGAGGAGGAGGAGGAGGAGAGGAGAGGAGAGGAGGAGGAGGAGGGGGGAGGAAGGAGAGGAGGGAGGAGGAGGGAGGAGGAGGAGGGACGGAGGGGGGAGAGAGGAGGAGGAGGGGGAGGAGAGGAGGAGGAGGGAGGAGGAGAGGAGAGGAGGAGGAGGAGGAGGAGGAGGAGGAGGAGGAGGAGGAGGAGGAGGAGGAGCGGAGGCGGGGCACCGGGGAGGGCCGCGGGCGCGGGGGCGCGGAGGGCCACAGCCGGGGCGTCGGATCGCGGGGCCCGTGGGGCGCAGGCCGCGCTCGGCGCGGCGCGGCGGTGTGTCCGCGGTCGGGGGGGGCGGGCCCGGAGGCCGTGGCTGCACCGCGCGGGCAAGGCCGGGGATGCTCCAAGAGGAGGGAGGAGGACGACGAGGACGAGGAGGAGGAGGAGGAGGAGGGGGAGGAGGAGGAGGTGACAGTGGAGGAGGAGGAGATTTCGTGATAAAAGGGAGGGGGTCTGGACCCTCCAAGACAAGCCGTTTCAGACCCCCCCCTCGTGGGAGAATTCCCTCCAAAGCATCGTCCCCAGACCCCCTCAGGCCCTCCAAGAGACAGCCTGGAAGAGACCCCCCCCCCGAAATGAGACCCCCTCCCTTTTATCACGACATCTGGAGTACAATTGGGCCTTGTGTGGGCCTTCCACTTCGGAGGCCATGGTGAAGACAGGGGTGGGGGCAGAGCGATCGGTCGGGGGTCAGCATTTGCGTTGCCATCTTTGGTGGTCCTTGCCTGTCTGATCTCCTGAGAGTGCACTCTCCAGCAAGCAGTAGCACCAGCAGCAGCAGAGGCAGGAGCGATAGCATGACCTCCGGCAGGAGTAACAGCGGGAGCGGGATCATGAGCTGGATGATGTGGCGATGGTCATGATGCGGTAATGACGTTGATGGAGTGGTGCTCGTGGTCGGGACGAGGATGTGGACGCGGATGATCACGATGATGGTGATAGTGATGGTGATTGCGATGATGATGATGATGATGATGATGATGATGATGATGATGATGATGATGATGATGATGCTGATGCTGATGCTGATGATGATGATGATGATGCTGATGCTGATGCTGATGATGATGATGCTGCTGCTGATGCTGATGCTGATGATGATGATGATGATGATGATGATGATGATGATGATGATGATGATGATGATGATGATGATGATGATGACGATGATGATGATGATGATGATGATGGGCGTTCTCCGAATTTCAATCCTGAAGCAAAATGAGAGCCGCCAGATGCATTCGCCTGATTTTCAGTGTTGTGTTCTACAACAGTTGGCAATATGCATGTATCTGCTCCGAAGCCTTTTCTCTCGAGATGCGGCCTGAGGGAGCCAACCTCGCCAAGTTAGGCTTCCTCCTGGCCTGGATTGTGTTTGGCCCGACCGCTCATCAGCGCCTCGCCGGCGGTCCTGGGCCGCCTCCCCCGCCTCCGCCGGCCACGGAGGCCAACCTGGAGCCGGAGGCGCCCTCTGCGGAGGCCTGCGCTGCCTGGCTCCCGCCCGCTCCGCCGTGCGCGGAGCCAGTCGTGGAGTAGCGCGCGCCCTCGCTGGAGGAGTACGTCGCCCTGCTCCAGCAGTGCTCGGCCGCCTCCTCGCTGCCCGAGCAGTCGGCGCCCCAGCACGTGCTCCTCTCGCTCGCGGGCCCGTTGCTCGTGGAGGGGCTCCGCTGGCTGGCGTCCGCTTGCGGGCGCTGCGGTCGGCTCAAGGCCCAGCGGCCTAGCGCGCCCGCGCCCGCGTCCGAGGGCACGCGGCCAGTGCCGAGTTCACCGACTGGCGGGAGGCGGCCGCCGCTGCAGCACCAGCCCCGCGGCGGTGGCGTCTATCGATGATTGAGGGCGATGAGCTGTTCATTGAGCATGCGGTGCAGCCACCGTTCCTGCATGGCCGTGCTGAAGTGGCTGTGTCGGCGGTCCGCCTTACCGATTGTGTGGTCATCGCTCCAGACGACGACCTCTACATCGAGGAGCTTGGTCCAGGGAGCACTGACATTCGAGCCTGGTACCGCCGTGTCAACGGAGAGGGCTTTCCACCGGCAGCTGGAGGCATCCCTGTGTACGATTTCGCGGCCCCGCTCACGCTGGCCGACTTCGCCGCGCTGCGCCCCGCTGCCGTCTGGGTGGTGGCTGAGCACGACGCCGCGCTCGTCGCTGCAGGGTTGTCGTGCCTGCGGTTGCCGCTGCTGGCCCCGGCCCCGCGGCGGCCCTTGCCCCGGCGCCGCGTGCTCCCGCCGCCGCAGGAGGCGCGGTGGGGCTCGCCGCAGCCCTGGCTGGGCTTGGAGGGCCCGCTGGCCTCGCGCCTGTCGCGGGCCCCCCCGCGGCGGCCCCCGCCGCCGCCGTTGGGGCCCTGCCTGCAGTGGGGTCCGTCGCTGCTGGGGCTGCTGCCGTCGCCGGCGCCGTCGCTGGGCATGGAGGTCTTCATGCTGCTCTGGCCGCCAGCCCACGGCCCGCGCGAGTGGGCGCTGGTGACGATATCCGCACGCTGCCCGTCTGCTACGGCGCGGAGGGGAAGCGCCACAAGGAGTTCCGCGACGCGGTCAAAGGGATGCGCCAGCAAGCCCGGCCTGACTGGGTGGTTCCTGGGCCATGTACGGTCCCTGGTGCGCGAACTTCATGTTGGAGAACGGCGGGTCAGCAGTTGGGCATCACATCTCGTTTCGCTCCGCGTGCCGCATTGGCCTCGACGACCCGGCGATGCTGCTCCACTCCGAGCTGTCGAAGATCTTCCAGACACCGATGTGTTACGACCAGACCGATGCTAGTAACCTTGCTTCGATGGAACTCATATGCCGACAGATGCAGCTCTGTGAGGAGAAGCTCAAAGACCGTCTGTTGGGCACCGCGGGTCTGGTCACAAGGAGCACGACGAGAGCTGGTACTTCACGGGCTTGCAGAACACTCGAGGCCTCATGGAGCGCCACGCCCTCTCGAAGTGGGTCGCCGAGCAGGTGGCCGCAGAGAACGCCGTGCTCAAAGAGCGCCGCAAAGCTATGGGGGGAGCGGGCGCCCGCCAAGCCGCCGCCGCCAACCCGCCGAGGCGAGCGGGGCGGCGGGCAGGGTTGATCACCCCGCCACCTCTCTTGGACAAGGCTGCTGCCTGCGCCCTGGCCGTGCGCAGGAGCTTGCACGACGGGCCTTTCGCTCCTGGCCGATGTCGGCTAGTCGTCAGCGGGTCAGCTGGCTGGCCGCTCGCACCACGGGCCAGCTCGGCTGGACACGGTCGCCCCGGCGCTCGCCGCAGAGCACGTCGCGGACAAATGCGTTGCGCTGGGCCCCCCGCCTCGAGATGTCAGCACCCGCGGGGGCCTGCGGGAGCTCTGCGGGAACGCCTTCACGCGCGGTCCTCCCAGGTCGCCCCCTGCAAGGAGGACCTTGTCTCCTGGCCCGTGACGGGTGCTGCGCCAGTCTCGCTGACCGCCGCGCTCGCCCTGGAGCGCCATTCGTGGTTTGGGGATAGATTGGCGAACTGGCGTCGTAGCGCCGACGATGCTGGCCGCCTTCGACAAGAGTTGGGATTGGCGCGCCCCGACTTCCGCGCCTCCTCGCGCTACTTTGGCTCCATTGAGCAGTTGTACTCGCGCGGCATGGTGCGCTTTGCCGCGTCTTCTGGTCGGCAAGCGTCGCTCGGTGCTTCATGGTGGCCAAGAAGAACGGCTCCCAGCGGATCATCTTCGACGCGCGGTGGGCGAACCTGGATTTCTTGCTGCCGGCTACAGCAGCCGCTCTCAGCAGGTTTGAGACGGCCGGGTGCGACACCGGCAACTTGTACCCCGGCGACATCCAGAACGCTGTCTACGCCATCGCCATCCCTGAGGAGGTGGGCGACGCCTTCAGGCTGGCAC